TATTTCGTGGCTTAATTAGGCCGTGAGGTGGCAGTTTGATTGGTCCCATAGTACCTGACATATGTAACGTATAAAAGAGAAGAGCAATATGTATTATGGTCCAATAGAAACTATTTCGTCGGGATTTGTAATCGTTAGATCAACTATCCACGACGATTATATAATGATCTAACGGTTATAAATTCCGACAGAATGATTTCGAGACTGTAGCATTTTCCTATATGATATAATAATAAAATAATAATAACGGGGCACCTGCTCTCATTTTCCCATATTTATACTTTTAGTCCCTCGGATCCTATATAATTATCTGATTACTCTATATATTTTAATCATATTTTTATATTACATTGCGAATCTGATGATAACAACACAGTCATGTCCCTTTTCATTTTCCCCAAACTTACCTAACTCAATCTGTGTGTGCCACTGCAAAAGGTTAGATGTCCTGCACGATTTCTCTTTTTTTTTTTATTTTTTTTTTTTGTTTTTGTTTTTGTTTTTGTTTTTGTTTATGGAGCTTCAGATCTGTTTTTAATCTGTTCTTTTTGTTCTACATTTTTCATCGTTTGATTGTGTGATTTTGGGCATTTCAATTGGCTGATTTTGTTTTACTGTTAATCGTCGAGCTGTAGCTTCATCGTTAGCTCTTGGGTTTCATCTCTAGTCTACCCACCCAAACTTGCTTGGGACGAAAAGGCTTTGTTGTTGTCGTCGTCGTCGTCTTGTTGTGAATAAGCAGATCTGAATCTCATCATACTGTACATATGGATCATGAGCCTGAGATTAATCCTTTGCTCGAAAGCACCTATTCTTCATCCGACAACACGCTACTTGACACGGCAAACTTCGAATGCAACATATGTTTCGAGCTGGCCCAAGAGCCAATCGTGACCCTTTGTGGCCACTTATACTGTTGGCCTTGCCTCTACCAATGGCTTCGGCTTCATTCACACTCGCACGAATGTCCCGTTTGTAAGTCCATTGTGCAGGAAGAGAAGCTCGTTCCTATTTTCGGCCGGGGAAAATCGAACCGGGACCCGAGGTCAAGATCTTACACGGGAATCACGATTCCCAACCGGCCAATGGGGCAGAGGCCACAAACCGCGCCTCGTGTGGATATGAATAGTTTTGTTCGGCCGAACGATGTGGACCCCATCACGGGGTTTATGCCGATGGCTGTCGCGCGGTTCGGTCACACGACTCTCTCGACTATTTTCGGCGCCCTTCCGGCTATTTTTAACCTTCAGGTAATTTTCTTTTCTCATCATCCCAGTAAATTTTGAAGTTTGTAGCTTTTTTTTAGAAATGGCTGAAACGCAATTTTTGTCCTATCAGAGATTATGAAGAATGCAACAATTAGAGTGACATATAGCAATTTAAGTCATGTTATTTAATATTTTATTATTTTGTTGCAATTTCAGTCCTCTGGCCGTGAAGAATCTCAATTTATATACTGGGGACGGGATTGTGATTAGCAATTTATGTCTTGTAATTTAAAATTTTGTTACAATTTCGCAAAATTGGAGTAATAACAGTCGAGTCCTCGACTGAAATTGTAGCAAAATATTAAATTACAAGACTTAAATTACTATATGTCACTCCAGTGGGACCTAAATTATCTTCATACGAAATTTGCAACTTAGCCTTTAGAAATTATCATTACTATGAAGTTGTTATTTTGCAATTGTCATTCAACAGAAGTAAATACGTTCCGTGCTATAGAAGTCGTTCAGCATAAATGTGGTTTCTTTATTTTCCCGATTTCGTTGTTTTTTATAGATAACTAATGCATGTTTTCTGTAACATAGCCAAGAGGTAAAATAGTCGTTGGCTGCCGTAAAATCTGATAGAACAAAACTGAGGGAGTAAAGTAAATCTGAAACGATACTATCCTACGAACTAAAAACAATTATAATGACGATAATCTGAATATGGCATTACAGGTGAATGGTTTTCATGATGCTACTGTTTATGGGGCGACACCATATATGTTCTCTAGTACTTTTCATGGAGGTTACATTCACGGCTTTCATAACTATCACACGGTGCCTATTGAGTGGAAACCAATTGTTTGGAAGGTTCTATTCGTTTTTCTCGGGTTATTGATACTTCTACATTTGATCATTGCATGAAGTGTTGTTTGCTTCTTTGTAACATGGTAGTATGTATATCTTTGTCAAAAACCTAATTAGGGTCCGTGTATTTGTGTGTGGCGAGATCAAATAAGCAAATAACGTGTATGTATGCTCGATGGATTTTTGGGGATTGAAGGATCGAGAATGTGAGTTCTTATCATTGCCCAATAAATCGAACGCGGAACACCGAATATGTGTGTCTGTATGTGTGTGTGTGTGGGTTGATTTTGTATTTTTACCCTTCCTAAATATAGATTTGTTATATAGCATCTGGTGAGGTTTCTAGTTTTTAATTGCTTTGGTTCTATCACTCAATTTCTGGTGTTATGTTTTCTCATGTTCTGGTTGAGTTTTGTTTTTTTGTTTTTTTTTTTTTCATTTTATTATACTATTTTGTGGCACTATTATTATTATTATTTTTCTTTTTAACTGAATATTAACTTGTTCAAGTAGGTGAAGTCATATTCTCTTATGATTAAGGTTGAAATAATGGTGGAAAATCTGAAACAAAAAGTCTTTGAATTAATATTATTTTGAAGTTGAATAATTTTGAGGTCCAAGTGTAGAAACTATGAAGACACGCATCAGTGAGTATGAGAGCACGTAGTTGAAAGCGGTTATGAATTTTTTTTTTTTTTTATTTATTTAAGATAAAGAATAATTGGATCAAATGAAAAATTGAAAATATAATTATGAAAGTCTACTTGATCTAAAGAAAAAGATCTAAATTTAGAAAACATGATTACTTATACAAATGGATAAAATTAAAAGATGAATGCAATACGATATATTAACCAAAATACGAGTATGATACAAAATATGAACACTAGACAATTAGAAAACACTAGAAAACACGGTTGTAAAGATAGATTATGCGATGTGCTATGAGATATCATACTTAAAGGAATAAATCGGTGGAATAGGCCATGCGAACTGCTTGGTAGAGCAGAAACATGGTAGAATGGTCTGGTCGAGTATCGTTGGATTAAGAGCCATCAGTATGGAAGACAATTTGGGGGTTGGATGCACTGCGAGCAGGTCGAGCTAGGGCTAGGGCCCTCGGTTGACTTGATCTCGACCTGTAATGGTGTAGATGGTCGTCTGATCGACCAGAACTCAGACTCGGAGCAGTAAGTGTTTTACCTAAGCTGACTTAGAGCTGGTCGTACTTTCGAAAATAAGGAGGAACCTTCAGGGAATTAGGCTCCACATGTGTAAAACCAGTGGTACCACCTCATTGGTATGCGCCTCATAACCGTCTTTGATACATTTTGACAGAGGAATTGGGCAGCCAGCTCATCACATCCGGGCAGCCTTCTAGAAACAGATACCTCACCATAAAAATAGAAGTGAAATATGTGATTTTAAGACACATACTCATTTAAACACCGAAGACTCTTCACCAGAAACTCCATCCGGCGTGAGAGGTTTTCCAGGTCTAAAGGCAATCAATCGGCTAGTAAGCACTCGAGCAAGCCTATTTCTAGCTGGTCGGAGATTTTTACGTACCACGATGGACACACAAAAACACGATACGAAAGAATAAAATGAATATTTTAGTTATATTTAGATTTAATGTGATACTTGTGATTAAAAAAATAAATAAAAGCATGAAGTAAAAAANAAGTAAAAAAAAAAAAAAACTTAGTGAAATTTAGATTTATTATAACTTATAATTAAATAAAACTGGTAAATCGATAGTATATAACTTGAACACACAATATAAATATTCCAATCAAATAAGATATTTTGCATGTAAATTGAAATTAAAGGGCAAAATTGTTTTGCTTTTAATATTTTTCATTCATAGACAATATATTATAACTCTTACAATATCCATGAAAATATCTCCTCTTTGTTTTGTGGATAAAATACTAACCAAACGCGGTCGTTACTAAACCTCTTTTTCCTGCACAATTTTATCACTTTGCCAAAAAAATAAAAAAATAAAAAAAAACTTAAATTTTTATTGGAGAGAATGAAGGCTCTGAATTCTACAACAGCATCAAAGATTCAATTTTGCAGCAGCTTCAGTTTAAGAAATCGACTTTCCTTTACGAACAATTCGATTCTGTACAGTTCGTGCAATTGCAGAAATGGCAGCACCCTCACAATCACTCTCTCTTTCAGCAGCAACAAGACCGTATTTTCTAAGCTCAAAACCTCCGAAAACCAGAGCAGAAAAAAGGGCAAGAAGGCCATCTTGCAAGTTCCCACGACGACGAAAATCGAGGCGCCGGAGCCCGGCGGAACCCCGGCGGATGCGGGCGGCGGAAGCGGCGGAGGTACCGTGAATCCGCCTCCGTCTGCGGCGGAGGGACGGGGCGAGAAACTGGGTTCCTTGGGTTTAAAGGGTTTGCCCAGAAAAGTGTTGTCCGTCCTTTCCAACTTGTCCCTGGCTATTGCCGAGATGTTTGCAGTGGCTGCACTTATGGCTTTAGGTATTGTACCTTCATTATTTTTTTTATTATTATTACTTTAATAGCAATTTATCAGGTCTTCAAAATTTTCTCTGGAGGTTTGATTTATATAATAGATGGGCTCTAGTTAGATTTTATCTTAATGCTGCATTGCTATACATGTGGGATTTTTTAATATTTTTTAATATTGCATCAAGATTTGATTTTTTGGTCATTTTGTTAATGAACTTCTCAGTGTTCTTTTATCTAGCATTCAAGAAAATGTAGGATGAGTATTTGTTCAGTTTGTGCAGTTCTTTGGTACTTATGGGTTTACATTTTTTTTCGAAAGGAACATTTGTTGATCAAGGTGAGGCACCGGATTTCTATTTTCAGAAGTACCCTGAAGATAATCCCGCGTTCGGATTCTTCACGTGGAGATGGATTTTTGCACTCGGATTGGACCATATGTTCTCATCTCCGATATTCCTGATAACCGTATCTCTATTAGGAGCCTCGCTCATGGCTTGCACATACACGACACAAATTCCATTAGTGAAGGTAGCAAAAAGGTTCGTTTGATGTTTAAACGATGTTTTTTGTCCTTTGTCCCTGATTGTTATCCTTGGTTACAACTTACATGTCTTATAAAGAATTAAGATAACAAATCTTCATTTTTTTTTTTTCTCCAAATATTTCAGGTGGTCCTTCCTACATTCAGCAGAGACAATTCGTAAGCAGGAATATTCGGATGCTTTACCGAGAGCTTCTATTCAGGATTTGGGTGTTATTCTGATGGGCGCTGGTTATGAAGTATAATTCTTATATTTGTTCCATATTTTACTTCTTTGTGCTTGTGCATTTTTTGTTTTCCTATTCTGAATTCTCTATGTCTTTTGCTTGTTTGCTTTGCTTCATTTTCCTTTAAATTGCTTTTTTTTTTTCTTCCTTGTGTGTTGTTGGCTTAACTAAGATTTATGCGCTGTTAGTATCTTTGCTTTTTTCCTTCAAGAGACCTTTGGAATTGGGCTAAATTTCACACATATTTGTAATCTTAATCATTTGGTTTTGAGTGCTGCAAACGAGCCGAGCCGAGTCGAGCATTGGCCTTATCGAGCAAGATTATTATTATTATTTTTTTACCTGCTCGAGCTCGATTTATGACGCTCGAGATTGACTCGACAAAAGAAGACAATTGCTCGAGCTTGGCTCGAGATCGATTGATAGCAAAATTCTCAAAAGACTGATCGAGCTCGGCTCGAGTTCGACTCGAATTTCAAGTAAACTTTACGATTAAGTACATTTATAATTAAGAGGTATTTTAATAATTCACTACATATCTCGAGCCGCTCGCGACTTTTCAAAATCTATGCTCGAGCTCGACTCGATAACATGCTCATGAGCCGCTCGGTTCGTTTGCATCCCTTTTGACTTAATGTAAATCTCTAGTCTTTTAGATTATGCAGCTCACACTAATAGCTAAGTTTGTTTTTACTATTGACTTACCAGAAACACAATCTTCTTTCTTTCGTTCTTCTATAATTTTTTATTTTTTATTTTTTTTGTTTTTCTGATTCAGGTATTCTTGAAGGGGCCAACTTTATATGCCTTCAAGGGGTTGGCCGGTCGATTTGCACCCATTGGAGTACACTTAGCTTTGCTGCTAATAATGTCCGGTGGGACCCTCAGTGCCACCGGAAGCTTCCGAGGCTCTGTTACAGTCCCTCAGGGCTTGAACTTTGTTATAACCGATGTTTTAAGACCGACTGGATTTTTATCGACACCATCCGAATCTTTCAACACAGAAGTTCACGTAAATAGGTTTTACATGGACTATTACAACAGTGGAGAGGTAAAAAAGTTCAGTTCTTGAAGATTTAAATTTAAAATTGCTCTATTGATTTTTAAGATTAAAATTACTCGATTTTTTTTTTTTTTTTTTGCTAGGTATCTCAGTTTCACAGTGATCTTTCGCTTTTTGACATAAACGGGAAGGAAGTAATGAGGAAGACAATAAGCGTGAATGATCCTTTGAGGTATGGTGGAGTTACCATATACCAAACGGATTGGAGTTTATCGGCACTACAGATAATGAAGGATGATGAAGGCCCGTTTAATTTAGCTATGGCGCCTTTGAAAATCAATGGGGATAAGAAGCTTTATGGGACATTTTTGCCCGTTGGAGATAATTCTGAGTCGACTGATCTTAAGGGAATGTACGTGTGTGCCTTTTACTTGCCGAGTTATCATATGAACGTAACGCAACAAAAGTTAAAAAAAAACTCGAACTTATCTCATAAGCTTCCTTGGGTAGTTTTTTGCCAATTGAAAATTTTATTTCAACTAGCTTATGAGCTAATTTTACCAAACATTTTTTATAAGCTAGCTTTTCAACCATAAGTCATAAGTTATCAACTATAAGCTCGAAATTCATTTAAAAGCTATAAGCTAGCTTACAATCATTCTAGTGTATTGACACTATTTTGGTGCTTTTTAAATTAAAAAATAAAAATATGCACAGATCAATGCTTGCTCGTGATATGCAGTCGATTGTCCTATACGACCAAGAAGGGAAATTTGCAGGGATTAGACGGCCAAATTCGAAACTCCCGATTGATATTGATGGAATAAAAATTGTTGTACTAGAGGCAATTGGCAGTACAGGCCTCGAGTTAAAGGTTATTGATCGATCAAAATATTAGTAGGAAAAATAAAAATAAAATTGCTAAATTCTTTAAATCTTTACGACACATTATTATTTTACGTAAAATTTATGTTTCATGCAGACCGATCCGGGAGTGCCGGTCGTTTATGCCGGTTTTGGTGCTCTCATGCTCACCACTTGCATCAGTTTTTTATCTCATACACAGGTAAAGCAAAACAAAATATTTGTTAGATTTTGCGTTTGGATTCATTGATCGACACAATTATTTTTTCCTAAATGTCTCGTGTGAACCTTATTTCGTTCAATCTTGAATCTTCTCCATACAATTTCGAACAAACGAAACAAAAAGATATGGGCTTTGCAAGATGGAACAACTGTGGTTATCGGAGGTAAAACTAATCGAGCCAAGGGTGAATTCTCGGATGATATGAATATCTTACTGGATCAAGTTCCTGAATTAGTGGACTCGTCTGGTTCTAGGCAATTCGACAATATAAGCAGCTAAGTCTAAAGTCGCGTTTCGTAATGACGATGGAAGACTATAATGTCAGGAAGTGTACAAAAATTGCAGAAAAATCATCATTTTTTCTGTCAGGAGCCAAAATTCTTAAATCTTTAAGGAGGTAAGAGAATTTTTTTTCCACATATACCATAGCAGACAAATTTGTATAGAGACATGTATTTGATGAGAAATGCTCTGTTTTTGGCTTTTCTATATTGTTAATAGTTACAGAGGAACTCATAGTCTCATCTCTCTCTCTCTCTCTCTCTCTCTCTGTGTGTGTGTGTGTGTGTGTGTGTTGTGGGGTGCACTAAGTGCATGATCAGAGCAAGTTTAATGGATAATTTGGTTATTTAATTAATTTTGATTTCTTTAAAGTTAAAGTGATCAAAACTTGTTTTTATTTTTTTTTTTTCTTTCATTCCTTTTTTTGAAAAAAAAATAAAAAATAAAAAATTGGTAATCGAAAGTTTCTCCCATAACTGATGTGCAGGCCACTCAGTCAAAGAGCATAAGATACACAACTTACGAGCATACTTAGATATAAATTTGTTTTTGTTTTGATTTGGGTTGGTTAAATTTGAAAAAGTAGGTATGGTTAGTTGTTAGTGGATATAATAAAATAATATTTAAAATAAAATAATTAAAATTAATTTGATGTAAAAGTAAGAGAGAGAAAAACTATGCTTCGTGATGTTGTTTTTATATTATTTTTGCTCCGGAGTTAGGTTTGGTATTACACATAAATAACTTTACACATATATTCATTAACTCAACACCCATGTTGTACATGGGTGTTAATACTAGTAATTAATGTATACAGGAAGAATGTGTTTATCAACATTCTCTTTCACATTCTAGTCAAACAATTAATGGAGGGAGAGAAAAATATTATTACCAATTACAAATTATCTAATTATTTAATTTATTTTCTTTCTTTCTTTTTTTTTTTTTTTT